TTTTATTTTTTTGAGACAGGGTTTCTCTGTGTAGTTCTAGTGCCTGTCTTAGATCTCGCTCTGTAGACCAGGCTGGCCTCGAACTCACAAAGATTGGTCTGGCTCTGCCTCCCAAGTGCTGGGATTAAAGGTGTGTGCCACCACTGCCCCTCTCTAGGGTTTTAAATGTCCTTTCTCCAAGTTTATAAAAGTAAAATGATAGCATTATAAAAATTTCAACTATAATAAATATATATTATTATATATTTATTATATATTAAGAAAAAGTCCCACCTGAGGTTTCTTCCTTGGTTTTCCCAACATAACTACATGCATAGTAGATGATGAAATACATAATTTCTGTTGTTTGCAGCATGTACTTATAGTCAAATCAATCAATTAATTGAATCAATTTGCTAGTAATTACATTTAAGAAATATTTTAAACTTTACATTAGTTTTAGAAATAAGCTTATTTATTTTTATGTTTACTATACATATTTGACTTTATTTTATCGTTACACCAAAAAATAAAGAGCAAGAGTAAAGTTTTGGGACAATGATTTTGGTGTGGTAGGAACGGCAAGAAATGGAGATGATTTGCATCAAAAGAACACTCAGATTTCAGAATTATGCATGACAGTTCAATTTTTTCAGTTGTACATCTTAGAAAACCTATTTCCTAATTTTCTGTTGTTTCACATATATGGTGGTTTAATGATTACTGAGAAAATTAAATTTTTACATCAATTTTAAATTTAATAACTAAGCTAAATAACCAACTACTCATGAGTTAAAACCTCGTTCTCAACATGCAGCATCACTTTTTTTTTCTGTTTAAAAAACTAGAAATGGGCGCCAGCCAGGGGGAAAAGGCTCGGCAGGTAATGCTGCTTGACAACCCCAAACACTCTCTCGGTCTCTGTCTCTGTCTCTGTCTCTGTCTCTCTCTCTCACACACACACACACACACACACACACACACTCGTGTATGCAAAACCAAATTCAAAAACCCCAGTCTCATAAACGAACAGGTAAACAAATGTGGATGACGGAGCTTGGCGTGGTGGCGCACGCCCTTAATCCCAGCATTTGGGAGGCAGAGGCAGGCGGATCTCTGAGTTGGAGGTCAACCTGGGCTACAGAGCTACAGAGAAACCCTGTCACATAAAAAAAGAAAAAGAAAGACAGGAAGAAAGGATGTGTGACTAATAAAGGAAGCAAATCTTTTGCATAGTGTTTGTTCCCCTAACACAGATTCAGTTTTAAATAAAAGTGTTGGGAAGGAATTTATTTCTTGATGCCAAGGTATTTCTTGGGTTACTTCATGTAAAGGATCAGAGGCAGATAAGCCCAGCAATTTCTTGGCAAAGTCAACATAGATCTAAGCAAAAGTCTAAACTGGACGGTTTAAAAAGCCATCTTAACTGTAAAATGACACGTGCTTACAGTCCTTCCCTCCGGACCGCCCCAATGCTCGGTAAGGAATCTACGGGACAAGAACAAGCTGGCTCGTGGGCCCTTAGTGTGCTCAGGGTTTTGCTAGAGAGCACACCATTATTTCCAAGCTAAGACTTCGGATCCTAAGGTGAATATGAACAGCTAATGTGATGTAATGTGTGAGTACAGGTGTGGGTGAGCCATGCTGCATACAGCGTGAGCCATGCCATGATGTGGAGGGCCAAGAGTCCATCATTGCTTTCCACCGTTTTTAAGACAGGGTTTTTTGTTTTGTTTTTGTTTTTTTCCTGTTGTGTCTGCCATGATAGCTGGTCTGTTAGTTTCAGGGGATCCTCCTGGCTCCACCCCCATCTTGCTTTAGAAGCACTAGGACTAGAGATGTGCACTACTGAGTCTGGCTTTATGTGGTCCTGGATTTACACTCAGGTCCTCATACTAGCACATACACTTTACCCAACGAGCCAGCTCCACAGCTCCTTTCTTTGAAGTCTGAATCCTTATGTAACTTCAGACTACGTTCATAATTCAATGATTTAAACTGTACAATTAATTAATTCAAATTAATCTACAGCAGCATATTAACAACGCCTTTAGTATTCGAATAAAAGATGTGTAGATGGTTTACCTGACATCTTTCTCCAGTTGAGCTGTACTCTTCATCAGTGAATCAATCTTGGAATCCCGTTGCCGCACAGACTCTATGAGATACCTGTAGGGTTGCTGAGTCTGGTTTAACAGTGAATTGGCTCTGTCAAGCTGAAGAAATACACTCGTCATTAAACTGCAGAAAACTTGACAACCCACTGAAACCAGCCCCAACAATTTACTCTCACAGCACAGTATCCTCTTGACGGGACTTTTCTAAGCACTGGAGTCTGAACTCAGGACTTTGTGCCAGCACTGAGCTGCACACCACATACCCAGGACCTCAGGCCTCCACACAGCTGCACACCACATACCCAGGACCTCAGGCCTGCACACAGTTGCACACCACAGACCCAGGACCTCAGGCCTGCACTGAAGCTGCACACCACATACTTAGGACCTCAGGCCTGCACACAGCTGCACACCACATAC